AGGGGGCCCCCCCGTCCGGCAGGCGGCTGTCCTCGGCGGCGCGGAGGCTGTGGGGGTTCCCGCCCGCCCGCCGCCTGGCGCCGAAATCCGCAGCAGCTCAGGGCCCGCGCGCCCTCGCGTCGTCTCTCGGATCCCGGGCGGCTGTAGGGGGTTGGCCACGAGCGCCCCCGCTCGGCGTATGCGCCGGGCGCACCACAGGCTGGAACGCGACTGGGAAGGAACTGCCGAAGGGCGCAAGGGCTCTGTCCCCAACTCCCACCCCGAGGCCCGGTGCGGAGTACCCTCGGCGCCCCAGCCCTGCGGCCTCTCGGCCCTCCCCACGCGTCTAGTGGGAAGTGGTTCCCGGTCAGGGCCCAGAACGCGTGGGCACCGGACAGGAGCCGGCCCCATCCTAGGGCAGGCTGTTTGGACCGAGCGAGAAGCCTTCGCTCCCTAGAAGCTAAGGAGCATTTCCGGAGCCCAAGGCTGGGACCGTGGCCGCCGGGCACCGACGGTCGGGCCACGGAGTCTCAGAGGATAGGAGTGGACGGCGTCGGGGGCGGGGGGAGGGAACCTGGAACAGTGACCAGGGGCAGCGGAATCTCTAGGCATGTGACGCCCAGAGGGCACGAGATCGCTGCCAACCTGCAGGGAACCCTCGGTCCGGTCCGTGACCGCTGTGGAGCGCTCGGTCCGCCAGGGGGCGCTGTGCGGGACGTCGGGCCTGCACCGCCAGGTGGAGAGCCGCCCCGCCGCGTCCTCTGCTTAAAACCCTTCTGGGGCCAGCCGGTGGCGTGGTGGTTGAGGCGTCGGATCTCACATGGCCGACTGCATGGTTACCAGTCCCACCTGGGCAAGTGCCCGAACTCCAACAGAGGTTGAGATGCAGGCGACGGCACTGCTGGGGGACCGTGCCCCATGGGGTGTTTTCTCACTCCCTTTTCTCTCTCTTCTTTCTCTCTGTCTCTGGAAAGCACATGTGCACTCTGGGAAATTTTAAAAAATCTTTAAAAACTGGACCCAAGCCTTGTGCAGGGGAAGTCTTGACCCTGATCATGTTCTGGAAGCATCTGGGAGCCTAGGAGCAACAGGCGTGAAGGGCCAGGACCACACCCAGCAGAGAGGTGCCTGGCTGGCTGTGGGAGGGGCTGGTGCAGGCACCCTGGCCGGGGGCACCAGGCACTCGGGTTGGGAGGAGGTCCTGTGGCTGCTCCCAGCTGGGGACCCAGTCCACCGGCTTTCCCCCCTGCCCCCTGCAGAGGGGG